GGGCACCAAGTGGTAAGCTGAGAAGGAGAATGGGGTTTCCTATTGCCTGTCCTCTTGCTACAGAGAGCTATTTCATGACCACGTGAAAAGCACTGATGGAAAACACCAGAACATAAAATTGTGGGTCTAGAAACTGGTCTTATATGGAAGTTGTGGGCCCCAGGTGGCTACCTAGCACTCGAAATACACCTAGTCCCGAGTGAGATGTGCTGGAAGTATGAGATCATGCTGGATTTCAGCCTTAGCATGAACAAAAGAACATAAAATATCTTATTCTGAATCTTTATATTGATACTTGTTGAAATGCTATTTTAGATATATTTTAAATAAAAGAGTTGGGTTTTTTTTTTAACCTTTTCACCCTGTTAATGAGACTACTAAGAAAATGTCCAATGACATGTGTGTGCTAGGGTTCTAGCACAGCAAGTGCCAGCTAGACCGAGACGTCACAGAGAGTAGCGACAAAGGTGTTAAGGCCGTCTCCTTCCGTCTGTCCAACCGTGCCTTCAAACTGCCCTTGTAAGAGCTCAGACAGGGAAGCCTGGGGGAATTGCTGGAGACAATATTTGGGAGCTCTGCTTGCCCTCACTGCCAGGATGGCTGATCCCACAGTCACCGTGACCGTGATGGAAGGATGAGGTTTGGAAACTGAGCTGCAGGCTTTGGAAGGTGCTCTCCAGAACTGCCCACGCCAGGACTGACGGCCACACCACACTGGGAAAAGCATCCCCAGGAGCCATACAAGTAAGAGAAACTCCTGTCCCCATTTTATAGTGAGGACACTTGGGAATACAGGATGTCTACTCGGGGCCTAAGAAGACCCACTCTGTAAGTAAAGGAGTTTGAATCCAGGCTCTGGGTCCCACGCTCTTGGCATTAGGCTCCTGGGGAGGCTGACAAGCACCCACACAGGGAGGACGGGTCCCCTTCCCAAGGTGGCAGTGGGCCCATGAGAGCCAGCCAACCTTCCCACATGCTCTGAAGACCAACTCTGCATCTCAGAAGTGTGCAGCGAGGAGAACTCATGCTAGGGATTGTCCAAGTGTCCGCGACAGCAGGCAGGTGAGCCAATCAACTTCTCCAAGGCCCCAGGGTCACCTCTCTGCTCCTCACCCAGAGCCACCCCCCACTCCATGCTTTGAGCCTCCTCCCTGCACTGAGCGTGGCTGTGACAGGGACGTACCACCCCCCACACCTTCCTCCTAGGGGTACAGCTCATAGGCTCTCTGGCCCCATCCCCTGGGGAAGCAGGGAGAACAAGCCTGCAGCAGGGGAACGTGGGGTCTAGCAAGCTCCAGGAAGCCCTGGCTCCAGGGCTAGGATTCTAGCACAGCAAGTGCCAGCTAGACTGAGACATCACAGAGAGTAGGGACAAAGGTGTTAAGGCCGTCTTCTTCCATCTGGTCCTACCGTGCCTTCAAACTGCCCTTGTAAGAGCTCAGACAGGGAAGGCTGGGGGATTGCTAGAGCCCTCTCAAAGCAGCAAGTCTAGGTTCATTCCCAAACAAGTAAAGGCTACGGGAAAGCACTGTGCTTGAGGAGTAACTCAGGGTCTGGTCCTGGGCCACCAGGACTCGTGTTTTCCAGGGTGACTCAAAGCCGCAGAGCCCCTGGGACAAAGCTGCAAGCACCCAGGCACTAAGAGCCAGGACAAAGAGTCATAGCTCAGGAGGAAAGTGCAAAGCAAGGAACACATGGGTGCAATTAACGGCAGCTCACGAGAATAATGAGCACCCCAGGAAAACAAGGCAGCGCGAGGCCGGGGTGAGGGCCAAGCAGCAGGAATGGAGAGAGAGAAGGAAGAGAAGGACGCTGGCTGCTGGCCCCCCAGCTTCCAGGCTGGGTTTTGTTTACCTCAGGCACTCTCCAGGGGATGGCACCGGGAGTGGGGACAGCTACTCTGATATCCCCTTTGAGGCAGATCCAGGGGAAGGAGCGGGAGAGCCGGTGCTGGGCTCCCCTCCGCTTTCCCTGTGTGTGTGAGCAGCCAGGATGCTCTGAGGTTCTCAGCCTGGCAAGAGAGCTTGGCTTTCCTCCATGTGGCCAGGACGCAGAAGGCCCAACCCACACACAGTGACACAGAAAACCCAGAAACTGTCCACGTAACAAGGGGGTCTGGGCCGGATTGTATTTTTGTGGGCACAGGCAGCTCATCTCATCTCTGAGTTTCATTTCAAGATGGTAATGGGGTCCTTTCAAAATATTTCGTATAAAAGATGGGTACAGAGGAGGACAGGGTTCAGAAGAACCAGCTCTAAGGCCTTGCCACTCGAAGCGTGGCGTCTCACAGGTAACCGTGGACCCGCCATGATCTCATGAGAAGTACTCAGTCAGAATGTTCATTTGAGCAGGCTTCCCGGTGAACAGTCTCCTCCTTAAGGTTTGGGCAGCGCTGTGCTAAGGCTCCGAGGTCCAGGTGAGGGGTAACCCTGGCCCACCCTGCACAGTCCCCTGTCCCCAGCCCTGTGGTGGCTGGGAGGCACCTGGCTGCTGGCGTCCCAGAGGGCAGGACCCACCCAGCCAGAACCACAGAAGGCCAGCCTGCTAGAATAAAGCCAAGCTCCCTAGGGACTACGGGAGCGATACCTACTGTTTGGAAAGGACCTTGGCGGGAACCGCCGTGAAGGCTGAAAGAAAATTCCTCGGCAAGCCTAGCTCCCAGATGGTGAAGCTCTCTTCGGACAGAAATTTCCTCAGAATCAGGCTGAGCTTGGGCTCTGCCATACCCCTTTCAGGACTTTCTCAAGCTTCTCAGCTGAGTCCTCTCTCGCAAATGGAAGCAGTATGGACTGGTGGTAAGGATTACACAGGATTGTGCAGGAGCCACTGAGCAGTGCGGCCCGCAGCAGGTGCCCCCGCGAAGCTCCCGGAAGCTCAGCGGGGCTTTGGGACACTGTGCACAGGTGCACACGAGGCTGTCTGGGCTCGCTCCAGGGGGGCGCAAGGGCGACTGGGATCTGGGTTCTCGGGGGCTCTGTGTGAGGCACGGCACGTACTCTGGCAGTCTGCCTCGTCGGCTCTGGAGGAGATGGATGTCTCCTGAACTAACTACTTTGCTTTGTTTCCCCGATCCTGCCTACCAACTACCAGAGCCTGCAGCTCAAGGCACGCTGCTCTGTCCTGCTCCCAAACCCAGGCAGAGGTGCCTTTGGAGCAAAACAGGCTTAGAGACTGCTTATGGGGTTTCCAAACTCCAACAGCTGGGAGCAAAGCAGCTGGGAAACAAACACATTTGCCCCCACTTGCTGAGCAGCTGTCATAAGCCAAATTCCAAGGAGAATGGATCAGATGACGGGCCTGTGCCTTCCTCGCTATTCTCTTGAAGGGCAGCGAAGGCATCTGTGCAATGTGTCCCACAGGCTCACAGGCGTAGGCAAGGGTTTGCAACAGGAGGAAAGCTTGGGCACTCTTGACTCGGTAGGTGGAGGCTGCAGAGGAAGGCTCTCTGGCTCAGCTGAGAGACCGCAGAGAGCACTGTGGGAAGGGTACGGCCCATGAAAGATCCGCCATAGGCCTGGGTGTGCTGGGTGTCTCTGTGTCCCCCTCCACCGTGACTGGCCAGGAGGCTGACCTCCACGCCCTGCCCTCTGGCTCCTGGTTGGTGAGAGCACAGCAAAGCAGCAGCAGGACATCCAGAGGAGAGGGGAGAAAGGAGGGCTGAGGAATGAGTGCTCCCGGCTCCCTCCCTGCTGCCTCCTGGTATGGCGTTGCCTGGGTCCCTCTTCTAAGGCTCCTGCTGGTGACACTTGTCCTACAGCGGCAGCTCTTGCAAGTCCCAGGAGCCTCTCCTGCCCTCGTCCCCTACTCTGCAATGGCAACAGCTTCCTGCAGGCTGGTCCCTGAGTGCACCCCTACCCTCCCTGAGCCTTGCCTGCACCTTGGCGGAGAGGCCCTCTGGAAGCATGGCTCCGTCTCCCTGTTCAAGCGTTCCCATACACTGTGACCACCCAGTCTAACACTTCCCAGCTTTGTGACCTCAGGATGATGCATAATGCTAACCACGTGTCATTGACACTTACAAGAGTCGGAATGTGTTAAAGGTTTTGTTGCTGTTGTTGCTGAACTTTAGCCTCTCAATAATCCCATGGGACTGGGCACGCTACTGTTTTCCCACTACTCAGATGGGAAAGGTGAGGCTCAGCGGGTAGGTCATCAACTGGTAAGTGAAGAGCAGCCATCTGAACCAGAGCCGGTCTAATTCCAGAGCCCAGCTGTCACCCACATCATCTCGGGGAGCTACAGTGTCCACACCTGCTTTGGAAATGCAGAGGGTGTGCAGGGAGGGTATTTCTGAGGAAGTATACAGGCTCCAGTGGAAACGATACATTAAGGCTTTCTGAGAGGTGGGGACTGGAGTGGAAAAACAGCCCGGGCAGCCTGCATAGGGAGGTAAGAGTTGGAGTCCCCAGAACTGTAATCATTAAGAGAGAAAGAGCAGAGCAGGACGGGGCTGAGGAGAGATCCAGGCCAGTAGGGATGCTGACAGGGAAGGAGATGGAAGTGATCCCCCCGCCAGGCTGGGCGGAGCCTTCCTGACCTCACCTGCCTGCCAGGCGCCAGGCCCCGGGCCAGTACTGTAATTAAATAATGAACACTCACAACCGCACGCCGTCTGAGGAAGGCAGTGTCCACCCCAGTTCGTTTCATAGATGAGGACAGTGAAGCCAGGGTGGTTAAGGAACACGTCTAAAATCAGTCAAATCCAGGTTCATCTGACTCCACAGCCCCGTCTGGGTGAATGAGAGAGGGAAGGGCCACCCCCTCAGAGACGGCGGAAGGAAGGGATTTGAGAAAAAGAGAAAGTTCAACGCGCGGGCACAACCGATTTTAGCAGAGTAAGGGGGACACATCTCCTCACTCGCTGTACTCACCCGTCACAGGGACATAATCCCTGACTCACGATGCATTTTTCAAACAAGGTTATACTTTGCCCAGCATCTTCCCCCGTCTGTGGTTTGGTTGTGCTCCCGTTCCAGACATGACCTTACCGGTCCTCTTACCTCTGGCTTTCCTCTTGCTAAACACAGACTGCCAGATGATCGTCAGGGTGAAGAAGAGGACACTGAGGATCCCCACGCAGCACACGAGAACAGCGTAGATGTAGAGATCTGAAGACAAAGACATAGGGGTATCAAATAAGATCAACTTCACACGTTACCAAAAATCAGTCCAAAGTAAACCACAAGCCTACACAGAAAATATAAACTAGAAAATTTTAGGGGAGAAAATAGGAGGAAAATCTTTGGGATCTAGGACTAAGCAGAGACATGTTTTTTATAAATGTATTTTTTGAGGACTTTGTTTGTTTGTCAGAGAGAGAGAGAGAGAGAGAGCACAAGCAGGGGAAGTGGGAGGCCCAGGGAGAAGCAGGCTCCCTGCTGAGCAAGGAGCCCAATGTGGGACTCGATCCCAGGACCCTGGGATCATGACCTGAGCCGAAGGCAGACACTTAACTGACTGAGCCCCCCAGGCGTCCATAAGCAGAGAATTTGTACACTTCACACTAACATCTACACAGAGAAAATTTGATCAACTTGATTTCATCAAAATTAAAAACTTCTCTTTTGTAAACACCCGTATGAAGAGGATGAAAAGACAAGCTACAGACTGGGAGGAAATATTTGTAACTGTATATCCAACAAAGGGCTAGTATGTAAAATATAAAGAACTCTCAAAACACAACAGTAAAAAAATGAACAACCAATCCTACTAGGAAATGAGCAGAACCAGAGACATTTCACTAAAGAGAACATACAGGAAGCAAATAAGTTCATGAGAAGATGTTCAACTTCCTCAGCCATTCGAGAAGTGCACATTTAAACCACGCCGAGATATCTCACACACCCATCAAAACCAATAAGATAAAAAATAGCGACAATACCAAATGCCAGGAAGGCTATGAATAAAATTGGGTCACTGGAGGCCAGTTTGCTGGCGAGAATATAAAATGGTACAGCCACTCCAGAAAACAGTTCCATAAAAGATACACCTACAAAATTCCCTTCAACTCAGCAACTGCTCTGGGACAAATGCCCCCAGAGAAATGAAAACTTCAGTTCACACAAAATCGCAGCTTTATTTGCAGTAGCCCGAAACTGGCACCTGCCCAGAGGTCCTTCAGGAGGTGAATGGCTCCACAAACTGTGCTCATACACACCACGGGCTACTAAGGGATGCAGCAATCTGGAACTTCCGGAGAATGATGCTAAATGCGGAGGTGGGGTTGGGGGGGGGGGGCAGAAATCCCAGAAGGCTACATACTGTACGATTTTATTTATATAATGGCAGAATTACAGAAATGGAGAACAGATTAATGATTGCCAGAGGTTAAGCAGCGAGTAGCTGATGGGAGGAACTTGGGTTTGGCTCTAAAAAAAATTTGTAGGGAGGGGAATATTCTGTATCTTGGCTGTATCAATGTCAACATCCTAGTGGCCGTGTTTTACTAGAGTTTTGCACGATGTTACCATTGGGAGAAACTGCGTTAAGGGCACAAATGGGTACAGGGGATCCCTGTTATCACTTTTTAGAAATATATGCTAATCTACAATTATGTCCTTTTTTTTTCATGATCATCTTTGTCTCAGTCAATTTAGGCTACTATAACAAAATATCATCGACTGAGCAGTTTTTTGTTTTTGTTTTTTAAGATTTTATTTATTTATTTGACAGACAGAGATCAGAAGCAGGCAGAGAGAGAGGAGGAAGCAGGCTCCCCACTGAGCAGAGAGCCCAATGCGGGACTCAGTCCCAGGACCCTGGGATCATGACCTCAGCTGAAGGCAGAGGCTTTAACCCACTGAGCCACCCAGGTACCCCCGACTGAGCAGTTTAAACAATAAACATACACTTCCCACAGGAGCAAGATGCTGGCAGAACTGGTAATTGGTAAGAGTTCCCTTCCTGGTGTGTAGACATTTCTACTTGGTGTCCTCACATGGCAGAGAACAGAAAGACACCAAGCAAGCTCTTATGGGGTCTCATCTTAGAAGGGCAAATAATCCCATTCAGAAGGCTCCACTCTCGTGACATCATCACTTCCCAAAGGCCTCACCTCCTAATACAGTCTTATTAGGGGCTAGGATTTCAACACGTGAATTTGGGGCGAACACCAACCTTGAGCCCTTAATAACATACATCCATTTCCTAAACTCCTATGATCAACTTCATCACCAATCTGATTGATCAAATGCCGACTGCTCAGAAAGGCAAAGGGAAGCCAAAAGCATCATTTAACCCTTCTCTGTAGCAAAAAGCTACAGACGTTTGAACTTGGCAAAATGTTTCCCTACCCACTTAAATGTCTTGAGCCAACAGATGTTCATTATCAGCCATGTTCAGCACTCTCCTAAGAACAAGAAATAGAACAATGGACATTTTAAAGTCTCATCAAGAAATCAGAGAGTACCATGGCATTTGTAACAACAGAAGGGTGTGCCCAGTGCCAGAAACACAAAGAAAAGGAACTCAACCAGTCTGAGGAGGTCACAAGGAACTTCAAAGAGGACTGGAGCTCTGTGCTGAGTCATATTTAAGAAAACACAGAAGGGGCGCCTGAGTGGCTCAGTCGTTAAGCGTATGCCTTTGCTTCAGGTCATGGTCCCGGGGTCCTGGGATCGAGCCTCGCATCAGGCTCCCTGCTCAGCAGGAAGCCTGCTTCTCCCTCTCCCACTCCTCCTGCTTGTGTTTCCTCTCTCAGTGTTTTTCTCTCTGTCAAGTAAATAAATAAAATCTTAAAAAAAAAACCACAGAAAATGCAAAAATGTATAGAAAGAATAAAAATACAGAGAGAAACAGAGTGAAAAAAAGTATTAGATTAATAGAAATGGCTTCATGAGAACTTATTACTGATCACACAAAGTGTTTCTAACTGCTCCCTGTAATAAATGAGGAGGATGAACATTTACAGACTCAAACCTTAACACACCTCTCAAATTAGGTTTTTAAGATGAAGTTCCTAGAAGAGGAATTGCTGAGTCAAAAGGAATGCACCTTTGTAAAGCCCTTGGGACCCGGAGAAGCAGGTAGTTACATGTCCAAATGGAAAAAGCAAGCATGCTGGGAGCAGCGGAGGGGGAACGGCTAGCTTCCACAGAGAGCTGGAGACGCAGGTAAGGCCATGGTCAGTGAGAGAGGAAGGGGGAGGATAGGATGGAATCAGACATCTCAGCCTCCTTTTGACTCTCTCTTCCCTGGCCTACAGCCCAGGAGGCTCAGTGTAGTCTCTGAGCCAGAGTCCCTGAGGTCCTCCCGTGGTCTTAGGCTCAGTCAACATTTTGGCCTAAGCTAGTCTAAGAAGGTTTCTCTTCATGGAACTTAAAGTAAAAGTAAAAGTAAACTAAAAGTAAAAGTAACTAAAAGTTAAACTAAAGTAAAATAACTAAAAGTAAAAGAAGTAGAAAGCACAGTAGAATAAGGCTTCAGGGGAAGGGAACACCTGCCCTAATATTTAAGGGAGCAGGAAGTTGGGTAGAAAGAGTCTGCTGCAGAAGGAGCTGGGAGCCAGTCACAGAAGCAGAGGAAAACTGAAGTTGAGAGTTCTAGAAGCCAAGTGAGTAGATGTTAAAGGTTCTTTAATAGCAGCAGGTGCTGCTGGAAAACATCTACTGGGTTTTCCTCCTTGGAAGTTACTGGAAAAGTCCTGGGGGAAAGCCAGTTCAGTGGGAGGGTACGGGCTGAGCCTGATGACAGGGGTCAAGGAGTTCAGTGGCATGTGAGGAGTTTGAGACAGAGATAGTGGAAACCCTCTCCTACAACAAAAATCAAAACTGCCTTTCTGTATAGACACCTTGTCTCAGACGCGTGGGCTTTGCAGATTCACTCGGTGAGAGCTCTGAGTGGTCAGAGTTAGGGGCTCAGGTCTCCATTCAAACAATGAAATTCTGAGAGCTAGAGCAGGGGTCACAGACCAGGATTCATGACAGGATGCAGGGTGGGCCAGAACACGGAGAGCACACAGCCAGTCCCGGATTTACAGGGGTTAAGCAAACTGCTCAGGGACCAGGACTGTGTAGTCATTTCTGGCATGAGAGGATGGCAAATAATTCAGCCCCATTGCCAGGCACACAGATGTGGGGCAAGAGGACACAGCATCCACCTCGACAGACTCCAAAGATGCGGGCCTCAGGACCAAAAAGGCAAGGGCGATCCGGCTTCAGTCTCATCCTTCGTTGGAGAGACAAACCATCTCACTGAATGAAGTTTCTGGATCACTGGAGCAGGGCAGCATCCACCACGAGCCCCCTCTTCACTGGAGCCCCTTCCTTGGTTTGGAAACTGTAGCAATCAAGCAGGGACAAGGTCGTGGTGAGAATCTCCCACAAGCGTCCCCAGAAGCACGCTGTAGACATCTGTGGCCCGCTCTGCCCCAGCAGGAGGCGAGGGGCTCTGAGAGACCCGAGTTCTGGTTTCAGATCACAGCCTCTACCACGTGGCACAGAGGAGGCTCTCCCCAGGCAGCCCTGGCTGCAGACATAAAACATCTGGCCAGTCCGGAAGGCTCAGCTATACCGCCAAACACGCAGACCCATGGGTTGGGGACACTGGCCGGCAGGCACGGGCTGCCTGTGTGTGCGTACCCACAGCCTCAGGAGCAATCACACCTTCTCTCTGTTGCATTCCTGAAGCTCCAGGAACGTGAGCAAGTGTCACCTTGCAGGAGGAGAAAAGCTCAAACAGAACATCTGAGTTTCTCTGGATGGGGTAGCACCCAAGACACCAGAGTTCCGATTTTTCCCTCTCTTCCGAGAGTTCCTTTTGCTGCATAAAGACAATGCCCCGTTTTATCTACTCAAAACACTGAAACCACCGCCCCCAGTTTTCTCTGCAAACAGATAAAACGCTGAGCCCTTTCAGCCAGGGTCACAAACACATAGATGGAGCACCGCCTTGCCACTGGGCTAGCAACAGCAAAGCTGGGCTGTGCCCCACACAGGCGGCGGCCACTGTGCTCAGGACAGCTGTCCTCCGCCCGGAAGCCCAGCCTGTGCTACCTTATCTCCCACTTTCCCTTAACTTCCTCGTACACACCTCTCTAATTATAAATGTGGGCTCAAAGGTTTTAAAACCCAGACCAGACCGGGCCAAACAATCCTTGTCTGGAGGCTGGATCCACAGCCTTCAGATCCAAATCGAACAAAACATCTGCACTGAACTGAACCTGGGGTTAGCTTTCCAAACACCACGTGTACCTGCGCCCTCAAAACCATTCTAAAAATCTACGTCCCTCAAACTCGTGTGCAGCTTTGTCTTCTGCCACCAGACTTTCAAAGGCACCGATGTCATTTTTAGGCTCCGTTGCAAGCTGCCATGCAGAAAATGTCCCTCCTGCCCAGCCCAGGCCTCCCCGAAGCAGATGGCGGGGCTGGCAGGCTGGAGGGACATTCACGCGGCAGGGAGGTGGAGGGTGGGGTGGGGGCACAGAGAGCTAGTGCCAGATCCCCCCGCTCCCAGAACACCAAGCCACCGCAGGGCAGGCCCAGCAGAGAGGCCCCGGCCACAGGCAAGCAGCACCTGTTGCTGGGCAACCCGGAGGCCAGCTGGGATATTCTGCCTCTCTGAAACCCAGCGGCCCCAGCATGTCTCCGCGCAGTGAAGGAAGCCACTCTCCCAGACCGCTGACTCCAGAAAGTCCATGTCCGTCCTCTACTCTTCCAGGGAAAATGCGAACGCCAGGATCTCGGATCTGGGCAGCCAACCTGAGCCCCAGCCCTGAGGGATTTTAACTCACTGCCGCATTTCACCAAGCGCTCTGACAATGCTGGGATTTGTGCTGCGGCCATGTGGCCCACTGAGCGGAGAGCCCCAGGAGACGGCCATCCCTCATCAGCTCTCCCATCCAGGAACAAAAGGGCAAAGGCCCAGCATCAGGCGCCAGGGAGTTTCATCTGTACCCCTGGCCTCACTGACACCATGGCTGGGTTAAGAAAGCAAAACACAAGGCCACTGCTGCTGGAATCACAGGGAAAGAAGGCTCTGGAAACAGCTGCTCTGCGGCATTAGACAGAGCAAGGACTCTAGCTCTTTTCTGAAGGGACCTAATTCTCTGTGTGGAGAAGGAAGCCCACCTTGGGCTATGCATTTTGTGCAGAGAGCTAGGTTAAGAGTGACCCTGAGAGTCAAGAGCTACATGTGAATTACCAAGTACCATCAATTACACGCTCGTTTTAGACATGCTGTTGATGCTGCCAGGCAGATTGGGACCACGTGCTGCAATCTTCCCAGATATATGGAGTCTTGTTTTTTGTACCACAGGTATTTTTTTTTTTTAAGATTTTATTCATTTGTTTGAGGGAGAGAAAGAGAGAGAGTGTGTGTGTAATGTGTGTGTTTGTGTGTGTGTGTGTGTGTGTGTGTGTGTGTGATATCAGGGGCAGAGGCAGAGGGAGAAGCAGACTCCCTGCTGAGCCCAATATGGGGTTCTATCCCAGGACCCCGAAATCATGATCTGAGACAAAAGCTTAACTGACTAAGCTAGCCCCCGCCCCCACCATCGGTTATTTCTAAATACAGTCCTCAGACCATTTGCACTGGGGAAACACCCTGGGCCCCAGTACAAATGTTTTGCTCCCTTCCTAAATGCAATAATCAGATTCTCAGTGGGGAGCCCAGAATCCGGGTCACTAACAACCCCCCAGGAGATCCTTATGCATCTGTTGATAAACAAGGTTCCCGATGTCACAGCTGCCAGCGACCTACCTTAGGGATGCCCTGGATGTCTCCATACTTCTCCCTCACCATTGGGCCTCGGTCATGGAGAAGCTCCCCAAAACATGGAGTAAATCAATTGTTTTTTTCTACTGCTTCACTCCATGGAGTAAAGTTCCTTTCATCTCCTTGATAACAAATAGGCATTCCCTGAATGAAAAGCTGGTGGAGGGGACACCTGGGTGGCTCAGTGGGTTAAAGCCTCTGCCTTTAGCTCAGATCATGGTCTTAGGGTCCTGGGATCGAGCCCCACATCGGGCTCTCTGTTCGTCAGGGAGCCTGCTTCCCTTCCTCTCTCTCTGCCTGCCTCTCTGCCTACTTGTGATCTCTGTCTGTCAAATAAATAAGTAAATAATCTTTAAAAAAAAAAAAGAAAGAAAGAAAAGAAAAGGCAGGGAATACAAGGAATCGCTACCAAGTGAAAGAGCAGTCTCACAAAGAAAATGTTTTATGGCAAAACAGTGAATCCCAGTCTCCTATCTGGGTGACACTTCCTGGTTGCAAATAATGTTCCCAACTGTGATTACGTTTTTCTAAGAGAGAAAGTGCCTCCACCCACTGCTTTTAACTGGCTATCTGAAGAGGAAGAGGTGAGTTTGGATCTCCTTGCAGCACATCTGTGAGCTAACTAAAGGTGAGGGGAACCCCCAAGGCACACACATCTCCCGAGATCTGTTCAGCAAGGGGATTCATCACCCATAAATGCCATGCCTTCCCTAAATGTAATCCTTCAGAATTTCCTGATCACCTTTTGACATTCATCAGTTTTTCACTGACCAAAGGTTCTGCCCAGAACTCACAAAGGACATTCTTTCATTGCTTCTGGTCATAATCCTCCCCCTCTTTGTGATAATAATTCCTGTGAACTCTCCTCACTCTCAGTAAGGCTGGGTTTCTCAGCCTCGGAACTCTTGACATTTGGGGCCAGAGACTTCCTTGTTGTGGAGAGCTGACCTACACGGGCATTGCTAGGACGTTTAGCAGCACCCTTGGCCTCTACCCCGTAGAAGCCAAGAGCATCGAAAGCCTACTTGTGGCAACCAAAAATATATCCATAACTGGCAAATGTACCCTGGAGGGGCCCAACCCCCTTGAACCCCAGTCTGAGTGCAGCAGAATCCCCGCCGAGGTCTTGTGAAAACCCAGACTTCTGGGCACCACCCCTAGTGTTTCTGATCTTATGCGTGAAGGGAGGGCCCGACACTGTGCCTTTGTATCAGGCTACCAGGTAATGCTGCTGCTGCTGGCCTGGGACCAGCCAGAGCTCCTGCTGGGAGCACCTGGAGAGCTTTTTTTTTTTTTTTAATTTTTTTTTAAAGATTTTATTTATTTATTTGACAGAGATCACAAGTGGGCAAAGAGGCAGGCAGAGATAGAGGGGGGGAAGCAGGCTCCCTGCTGAGCAGAGAGCCCGATGTGGGGCTCATTCCCAGGACCCTGGGATTATGACCTGAGCTGAAGGCAGAGGCTTAACCCACTGAGCCACCCAGGCGCCCCCCCCCTTTTTTTTAACCTGGAGAGCTTTGAACCAGTTCCAGTTCAATCAGAATGTCCAGAGATGCGGTCCAGCCATCAGTGTTTTTAAAGCTCCCCAAGGGAGTCTAACATGGGTTGAAAACCACTTGCTGAAGGTTCTCAACCTATTTCTAGAATCCCAAACTCTGTAAGAAACTGGAGATAAAATTTTCCACAGTAGGGGTACATTTCATTTGTACAGTACTTGAAGATCCCTTCCTAAAATCACTTAGGAGTAGGAATTCTGGAGCTTGGGGCTTTGTCTCTTACTCTTTCAAAACCCATGGGCGGATACCAACAGGGATTCCCACCTTACTCTCTTTCTCTCTCTCTCTCTCACTCTTTCTATATATATAGTTTTGGTGTTTTTCAAAAGATTCTATGTACTTTTTTTAGAGAGAGAGCATGAGTGGGTGAGGGGCAGAGGGAAAGGGAGAGGGACAAGCAGACTCTGAGCTGAGTCCAATGCGGGGCTCGATCTCACGACTCTGAAATCATGACCTGAGCAGAAATAAAGAGTCAAGAGTCAACGCTTAACTGACTGAGCCACCCAGGGGCCCCTCCCACCCTTCTCTTAAGTAAATTAAAGATAAGAAAACAACTTAAGGGACGACTGAGTGGCTCACTCGGTTATCATGATCCTAGAGTCCTGGGGTCAAGTGCTACATCAGGCTCCCTGCTCGGTGGGGAGTCTGCTTCTCCCTCTCCCTCTGCTCCTGTTCTCTCTCTCTCTCAAATAAATTAATTAAAAAAATAAAGAAAACAACTTGATGTCATAGCACAACTAAGAAGTCAGGATCCTTTTTGTTGGTTGAATGCAACAGGAAGTTACTCAAATAAGAGGGATGGAAGCTATCAGCAGAAGGTGGGAAGGGAAGGGACAAAAGCAGGGAAGGAATATGTTTTGTTTCACAGAACCAACAGTTCCAGCCTAGGAGACGCCCAACGAGGTGTTTCACCTGAGACCCACCTGCTCGGTGTATCTCCGCTAACAGCCCGCATGGGAGCCAGGTGAGCCAGGCTGAAGCTGAGGACCTCAAGTTACCTTTAGCTCATTATGCTAACATCACATCCTATGGGCAGAGTGTTCTGACATTTTTTAGAACGTATGAGGTATGTACTAGCGTGCTGACGCGCTAGACATGCGCAACTCATCCAACCGTACCAATGGCAGCTCCCTGCCCCAGCCCCTAACACACTGAATAAAAGATTCTTGTACTAACCCCGTGGGGAGACGGTGCTTTGAGAACTATCTCCCTGTCCCCTAACTTGTAACAAGAAATAGAAAGTCCTTCGCTTCCAATATTGGTTGTGCTCAATTTGGTGTACCCCAAGTGGTGACCCCCTTGAGTTTGGATACACTTTCTTCCCATTTTATTCCTTTCTTATTCTCTAAAAGTGAGGGGCATCTTATAATAAAGAAACATGCAAGGTCTACCTTCAAAAAATGCCCAGGTCTCTTTCTTTTTCTCAAAGGATGAATCTTCAGAAGCTTTGAGGGAAATCACTGTAAAACAAAAAGAAAAATGGCACAGCGTGAAGTGTAGTAGTTTATGGACCCGGCCCACACTGTGATCCAAAATAATACCATATTGTGTGAGCGGCCCTGACATTTACAAAGCAATTTTCCCATTTGCAGAACCACATTTAATTATCACAACTCACACATGAGGGAGAGGTACAATGCCTGACACACCACACTGGAGGCTCCAGCGGGGGGAAAGTAAGTTGTCTTTGTTTAAAAGCCAATAAATGACAAAGCTGGGACTGAACCCAGTAGAAGTCCCACTTGCCCCACATTCTTGTCAACTACAAAGTTCCCCAGTGGGAATTCTAAGGACCAAAATATTTATTTGACCATATTAGTGGACATCTTTCTAAGTATGGTGCACTTACCAAGTACTCCTAGACAGAGGAGCCTGAAGTCATCTGATGGCCCAGGGTCTGGGCTCTGAGCACCACTCTGTGCCAGACAGTCACACACAGCAGGAGGCATCTGATTTTGAGGTTATTTTGTTCACTTCTAGTCATAGTTGATCACTGAACTTACTGAGCCTGTTCCCAACAGTCAGGAAACAGAACTGAGCCATACAGTGTAAAACTTTGAATATTCCACAAAAGAGGCTGCAAGCACGGAAAGGTTCCATGCATAAGGGTAATTTAATCATGGGTAAAAAAATTAAGCTGACCAAAAAAAGCAAAATGTGAAGGAATGAGATCACTGTCTGATAGAACTTTCCAGGATGAAAGAAATGGCCGCCCGTGGCTAATTGAGAATGTGAAGTGTGGCTGGTCCACATGGGCCTGAGGAATTGAATTTTTAATTTTATTTTAATTAAAATAAAAAGGCCTGTGGCTACCACACTAGAGAGTTCTAGAGAAGAAAATCTAACACCTGAATAGAAAGACAAAGGAGGTTGGAATGGAGATTGAATCAGAGAGGTAAGGCCTATGGCAGAGATCGTCTGAAACTCTATTTACTGTCCCTCCCAAAAACTTTTGTATTATATTGTCATGAATTTCAATCTGAATTTTCATCTTTTTACTTCTTTAGGCCTTATACTGGGTATTTCTTATTGACCCATCTTGCAGATCGCCAGTCTTCCCATGTGATAAAATCGTCTATTAATTCATTTTTATATTTAATTAATTTATTCATGTTTATAAATCCCAGCTCCCAACAAATTTCTCCAGCTTGTCACCTAATTTTGCAACCATATTAATCACATTACTTTAATGCAGGTGCCTGATAACTTTCATATCTGCATCACCCGTAGACCTGTTTCCGTTATCTATCTTTGCTTTTGATCATGTCCCTTGCTGTATCTTAGCACTTTCTTTTAGTTGAATGCCAGACATTTTATATAGAAAACTAAGCAAGATTTTATCTTCCGGGGTCTCTGGCAGGCTCAGTGGGTAGAGTGTGCAACTCTTGATCTCAGGGTTGTGAGTTCAAGCCCCACATGGGGTGTAAAGCTTACTTAAAAATAAGATCTTGGACATTTTTTACTTAAAAATAAAATCTTAAACACTTTTTAAATTTTCCTGGTAATTGGTAAAAGTAGAGAGAACATCTAATCCAATCAGGATTTTAACTGCCTAGAGTCTGGGTTTCAGTTTTATATAGTCTATACTATCTCTGGCTTGCCCTTACTTAAGGGATCCTCAGTGAGAAGCCTAGAGTAGCAACCAGGGCCCTTCCAATTGTTAAAATTGCCAAAAGTTCTGCTTGCCTCTCAAGCATCCCGATTGACACTTTCTGCATAGCTTCTCTTAACTGCTTAAGTATGACGGAATTTCTCAAAGAGTTAAGTGTCTCCAACAATTGGGGTCACCAACTACTCTTCCCTATGCTCTATTTAGATAGTCCTTCAGAGACAAATTAAGGTAGCTGAAATACATATAATTGTGCAATACAAATGTATTTATGATAAATAAGTGTGTAATTGCTACAACTGAAATCTACATTTCTTTTTTTCTACTTTCTAATTGCTCTCAGAAGGCAGACTTTGATCTGCTATAAGCTAGTCTGCCACTACTGAAGAACTCTCCCATTAGAACCTCAATTCCTTAAAATGTATCTTCTATCTCTATATCCCCATCACTTGGTAGACTGCCTGGCAGCTAGTTAGTGCCTAGTAAATAAATGGATAATCACTTCTTTCTGGGTCCACAAAGTAAGCAGTCTGGCCCTCCAGGAATGAATTCTTGGTCTTGTATATAATATTCAATAAGTCACATAATTTGCCCATCATCATCCTGCTTAATTTCCCCACCCACAGCTGACTGCCAGTGCAATCAATCAGATTCTTCCTTCAAGAATTTAAACTAAGAAACATAGTATATAATGGTTGTTGTGGGCCCTGGGGTTGAAGGAGCCTGTGGACTTCTGGGCGGCAGCCATGTTGGAAACACAGGCAAGTGGAATGGAGCAGGGGCAGAACCCGCAAGGGGACATGAAGTGAGAGGACTCGTGGGGCTGAGGGCTTGATCTTGCTGGAGCTCTAGGCCCCAAGAAGGCTGATGTAATGTGGCTGCTATCCTTGCATTTTATGAGCTCCATATCCTTAAATCTATCCTTGCCTTTCTTCTGAATTAGCTTGAAAGGGCTTTCATAACTTCAACAAATTGAGCAGAGGCTAGGAGAACCATAAAGAGACAAAAGGAAGGAGAAAGGAAAGAGAGATTATCTCCAAGGACCTGAGTTTTCAGGAGATCCAGCATGCCCATAATCATCCCGAGCCTCGCCACTTCAAATGTGGCCTACAGCCAAGCAGTGCAGTGTCACCTGGGGGCTTGTCAGAAGTGCCAAATCCCAGGGTCCCCAAGCCCGACCTATTGGACCAGAATCTGCTTTTAAACCAGATACCCTGGATCAATCATACAAACTTTAAAGTTTGAGATGCACTAATAAACCTCGGGTTAAAAAACAAACAAAAAACCAAAACAAAACAAGTTGCCATTTACTGGTTGTGTAACCTTGGGCAAGTTGCTTGATTTCCCAGCGCCTTAGTTTCACAAACAGGGATGACAAATGCCTGCTCTTAAAGGACATGTGAGTCAAACACATTAATATATGTGAAGTGCTTAGAACAGGGCCCAAGATGGAGTGAACCATTTTTATCCGCAACAGTGTTAGCTCCATTAGAAAAGGGATTTTTGTCTGTTTTTTTCCCGGCTCTAATTCCTGCACCTGATTCCAGCACCATCCTTTGTTGTCAGTCCTTTGTTTCACTGTGTGAATCTTCAGTCGTCCAAATGGTCCCCAAGAAAAGGTTCCTTGTCCTTGTCGCTAAATGCCTACAGCTCAAAAGGGCTGCTACTGTCCTAGCAAAGGCAGGCACCTTCGGACAACTTTTTCTTCATTTTTCTTTTTCTTTTTCTTTTTTTTCCACAGAAATTATGGGTCCTTGCTGTAGTCAATAACAATGGCTTTGCCTTACTTAGGATACAAGATAACAAGGTCTGCCTAACCAATTTACAGAGACCTGCACTGAAAAAGCCAACAAACTGGGATTCTAAGCTAACAGGGCTCTAAACAATGAATTAATGCATGTTCCTCATTTCCCTGCAGCGCAATTGTTTTATGGGAAAATGCAGCAAATCTGTTTGCATATGATTAGCAACACGGGTCATAACTTTATCTGTTCCATAGACTCCTTCAGAGCTTCAGAAATTTGTCCAAGGTTTTGCCATAATGATCTTGTTTCAGCTGCTAATCCCCTGCTATCTCAAAGTGAATTTGATACATTGTCAAACCTTGTGTCTGAGCCCAGACACTGTAAGGAAACACAGTGCAGGATGGGTGGGTGAAGGGCTTTGCAGTGGACAAGAAGTGGGTCTGCAACTTGAGCAGTGCACCTCCTTTAAGGCACGGCTGCACAGAGCGGGCACAGATTTAGAGAAGCGAGCCTGGAGACACTGAGTAGAAGAGGCCACGGCAGGGTAGATACGGAGGATAAAATGCTTCAAGGAGACATTCTGCTTCACCAAGGAAGGAGTGGCAAATTTTCCAACCACAGGTTATTCACCCTGATCAAAGACTTTCAGAAATAAAATGGCAGTTTCTTGATCATCCAACATTTGTAATGGCTTCGGATGAATTAAGCCATCAGAAGGCTGCAGCCTTTTAAGCAAGATTCCATAAATCTATCACTTTCAACTGCATTTGCCTCACCTGGTGATCCCAGCTGGACTCCTAGATAACTGGGAAGAAGGCACCAAGCATGCTTTCATACCCAAAGTGCTGGCTTTTCCTAAGTATCAATCAGCTCAGGGGAGCTGAACGTCCTCACACATCCAGATAGCTACCTAAGATTGGGGGAGTTCCCAGCGCAATCCCTCCAAGATTAGGAATTCACATGCATTCAATCAGCCTTTTAACCAATGGGTTGTCTTATAGGGTCATGAAAGGGAATGGGGGGCTCATCCTCTGTGCTGGGATTCTGAAGTCCGGAAGAGGAATAGCACTTCTGTCCCTTCCCAGAACGGAGCATGTTACTTGAGTATCCCTGCCTGGCCCTCTCTCTCCTCCTACATCCACTCACCCTCCTACTCCCCCAGGCAAGGGGGCTGGGGAGGAGTCCCTGATCCAGGAGAGCTTCTGATACACAGCCCCTCTCTGGGTGGAGGAATGCGGTCAAGACCCTGCGGAAGGCAGTCTCGGTCTTGTACACGTTCTGAGACTGTGCTCTCAGCGAACAGCTGACGAGGGGATGGGCAGTGTGCGCCCCTTCGGGAAGGTCTCATCACCCCGGCTGCTGGGAGTGATGCCAACCCTGCTTCCCGGGGAGCTCTGTGGCCACTCAGCTGCATGCTCCTCTTTCATCCTACCTGCAAGGACTACCTCCAGCCATGAAGTGGAGAGCCCCGGGCCACCCTGCTGGGCCTGGGGGAGGCTCCCGAGGAGCAGTGTAGCTGATCAGGAAAGCAAAAGGAAGTCCAATTAGACCTTAGCACCAGACTACTTTTCTTAGGATAGCTTTATCCAGAATAAAGTGGGCATTT